GTGGCCGGCGGCGCCAGTGGAGGCGAGGGGGTGGGGGGGGCGGGGGGAAACACGTGACAACGGCGGTGGCTGCGGTGAAGCGCGGACGGGCGTGTGGCGACGGTTATTCATTCGACTGCGTACGTTTCATTACTTGTTTGCTATCGGTGAGTCGGGCGACTCCCTGGGCACCCTTGCAAACGATATTTTCAATCAGTGGGGGATTTTTTCAGGTGAAATATTTGAACAAATAAAACACAATGTAAAAATATTACGAATTCTTTAGCTGAATGCTACTGCGGAGGCTTTCTTGGCTGTGCCTCTGTGCGGGTGTCCGATGCGTTTACGGGATGTACTGTCAGGCGTAGTTGGGCGCGATGTCCGACGTTTCGCAACGTGCTGGAAGCTTATTCAGTTTTCAAGAGATGGCCACGGCTTTTCGGACCACTCCGTTAGATTGCTTTATCCACACTAGGGGTAAGATTTTGAGGTTCGGCGCCAAGTAGCCAAGGGGACGCATGTACAGGAGCCAAGTGGAACCATGCGGAGTAGCCAAAGGGGGTCCCCCCTTGTGAGTAGGCAAAGGGGATCCATGAAGGCTGGTACAGCAAATATCCTCCTGTGGCCACATTTTTAATCAGCTGACCTCCCTCTCCCGGTGCGCGCACGCTCACAATCACACCAGCACAGGTGGGGTTGGTAGATCACACGGAGGTCATCACGTGCTGTGAGATTCTCCACCCAATCCCCACACCCCCCACGTGGCATGGGGAGGCCTCTATCGAGCGGTCGGTCGACAACGGCTCGATCGTTCCGATCAAACAGAAGGAGACGGAAGCATTGAGAAATATTTCAAAAAAGCCTAACGCAACTTCCAAGAGGCTGTCAATGCAGACGTAGTCATTCTCAACTATCTCAGGGACCCCCGCGCGCGTTCACGAGTTTCCAACGTCATTCGCGCGACGTACGGCGCATCATCGCTCAACCCGGGGGCCGGCAGGAAAAACGCTGTCAGTTCCCTCTCCTCAAGATCCCACCCCCCCACCGCCCACCCCCCCACCGCCCGCCCACCCACCCCGCCATCACCGCCCCCCCCGCCCCGACCCATGTGTAAGTTTGAGCAGACTGTGCTGGGGCGTGCCTTGTGTAGTAATTGCCGCTAATTGAGAGATGTAGCCAGCCAGGGTCTTCCCTCAGGTCAGCTCAGCCTGAAAGAGACACATGGCGTGCCAGATGCCGGCGAAAGCGCGCGTGCGTCACTTTCTCGTGCCGATGTTTTTATTCCGACGCGAGTATGAGCGAGATTTTAACAAGCGCCGTTTTGAGAATGTGGCACTGGGGCCCAGGTATGGTTGTGTGCCCTAGTTTGCGTGCTGCACACAAACGCACGTGCCCGTATGAAGATAAAGATCTCCCCCCAATAGCCGTACAGACTGTTGGGGTAAGTGCTGTTAGAGAGCACTTACGGCAGGCTCGGCGCACGAGGGGCTGGTGTGGCCTGTCCGATGCCTGGCTGCCTTTGTCTCCCCAAGCGCTGATTGTTTGCACATGGCACCAGGAACTAATTTAAGGATGAGTCGACCTAGGGGAGGCCCATAACTAGTAGTTGGTTTCATTACGCATTGCGCTAACCATTGCCCCACTCAAGTTGCTGGGTTGGTAGAAAAATGTGCTAACCAGGATGCCTCCACTCCCAACACACACCACGTGTACAGATGCACAGATGCACTCACGCGCGCAAATTTAAGCACGCGTGCTCATTCGTGCGCGTTCGTGTGAATCAAACTCTCTGTGCCAGGTGCTCAATCCAGGCTGAGCCAACCTAGGGGAGGCATTGGATGAGACAATGGCCTTAATAAATATTTTACTGCCACGTGGGGAGTCAAACCTGGAAGGCGCGAGTATTTCTCAAGCCCACGAGAAAGGGGGAGGAGGAATATCTGCTTAATTATTCCCGAGCAGCGTATCTCGGCGGCGCATCCGAAACGCAATCGGAGCCGAGACAACATCGGTAAATATTTAATGGCGACGTGGGCGGCAGAATAAAGGTGTGCCGGTTCACCCGTCGCGGCTCCATGCATCAATTGTGCACCGAGGCCGGCGCAATTCCGTGAGCGCGGTGAAATTATCCGCGGCGATGATAATAATTTTCCTTTCGCCAGAAATGCCTGCATAAGGAAAGGGATTTTGTTGTCGTTGTTGCTGCTGCCAATTGTGTTGTTTTGAGCAAGGTTGTGTTTTCAATGCGTGGCAGAAAAAACGGCGAGGCCAGATAAAAACTGCACGTGAAAATGTTTTGTTACCGTTGCTCCAGCGAGCGTTGGGTGGTGCTAATAAGAGTGCTCGAGAATGGGAAGAGAGTGCTGGGCGGGAGCTGTTGAGTGCTGTGTACTGAATACAGAGCACTGAATTCAGCATACTGAATTCTGTGCACTGAATGCTGTGTACTGCATCCTGAGTAATTGTGTGAATTCACAATCTGGGTACTAACTATGAAATGGTAGGGACTACGTGCAGACGTCTACATTTTTTGGTAGAAGGAATTTAATTTGTGGGAAGTAGGTATTGAATTCTGGATTCTGGGTGGTAGCTATTGAATTTTGGGTGGTAAGAATTGAATGCTGGCATGCTGGTCAGTGAATATTTAATTCTGAGCACTTGGTGCCATTTGTGCTGGGTACTGAGTGCTGGTTAATTAATAACGGGTGCTGGGTACTAAGTGCTCTCTGACACCGAGTGAACACCGGGTGTTGATGAGCGAATATTGAATTATGGGCTCCCCTATCGCCGCGCGCCCCCGATCGCTGCGCACCTTTGATGCGCTCCTTGATGAGCCACAGCGGGTGGTGCTCCTGGTTGTGCAACTGCCGCCCGACAAGCCCCAGGATGTGCGGCGTCACGTTGGTCACATCGTCCGTGTCGTACGAGCGGCCCAGCACTGCGACGGTGCCACCCCGGGGCCCGTCCCGCTCCGAGCAACGCGCTCGTGCCGGCCACGCCGCCGTCACGGCGCCCCCCGTTCCCCTGGCCCCCCATTGCCGGCAGGCCCCCCACCGCGAGCGAGTGTTCCACCGCCACGCACCAGGGAAGCTCACCCGCCCGCCGACGCTCATCTCTTGATTTTAGTTCTTTGATCGCAGGCGTTAAGTGCGGGCCCGTGTTCTGTGGAGAGCGATGCGCCGTGGGTAGGGCGGCAAGGAATCGTGGCAGGGCGCGTGCAGCGAATGAGGTTTGAGAAACTGCCTGAATTGTAATTCCGTTCGCGTAAATAATTACGAATTATTTTTTTCGAAGCACCTTCCTTCACACTGCTCCTAGCCTTTACAAAGGATTCGTGTGATGAGCGATGACAGTGACTTTATTTTTTATCCGAGGAACTATCTTGAGGCAGTGGTCTGCGGGTGGAAAATAAGTGCGTGCCGATTTATATCCAAATAAAAAATTATAAGCCGTTAACAATTCAAACGTACCTATTGGCAGCGTATTTAATCATTGGTCACTACAGCACATATTTTATACATACGCCTTAGTTAACTTAGTTGAGCGGCAATGAGCTGTAAATGTTTTAGATTCGATCAATGCCAATTAACGGAGTCCTAACGGGGGCAGGGGTGGGGCAGCTGCTGCCCCGAAAAGGAGATGGCGAAAGCGTCACGAGCATCACCTGGAACAAGCGTGAAAATCCCGGCGTTAATGCGAGGCACCAAACAACACGACGCACAAGACACCGAGGATGCTAATTTAGGAAAATGTGCCATGGTTTAATGACGTCGTCTTTAAAGGAATAAAGTTTGAATGGCTTATTAAATACACACAACAGCGGAACCCCATCAAGGTGGCGATTTAATCGAATTTTCTGAATAGAGACGTTGGGGAATTTTCACAATTATTTTGTGCAGTCCCCGACTTACATACGCCTGACTTAAGGGCAATCCGGCTTACGAACGGAAGGTGTTCCTACGTCGAGGACTATCCATGTACACATTTGACCACCGTCCCATAATCCCTTCATGCGTCGTGTCCAACCCACACCCAACGAGGGACATCAGCACTTTGCAAAAATACTTTACCGAAAGAACCAAGAAGATGAGATGAGGAATCAATGGGCGAAGTTCACGGGAAATATAAACAATTTTTATTTTATTTGACCAGGTAAGGCCCACTGAGCTATACGGCTCTTTATCAGAAGCGACCTGCCCACAAATGATGGCTCAACGAAGCGGCAGTCAACTACTGAGCGCATGTTGATTCTAAATGCGGAAGGAGAGACCGGAAAGACACGGAGACAAATCCACGCGGCCACGGGGAGAACGTGCAAACTCCAAATTTAAAAAAGCATCGTCATTGTCGTGATCGAACTCACGACCTCCTTGTACAGTATCAGGCGAGGTAGTTACCATCTCGCCACTGCGTCGCCCCAACACTGTTGGTCGCGATAGGATGAGTGGCAAGTGATTAGGACGTGCGCATCTCCTTCGTGGATGTCAAATGAAAGACAAGCCACAGTTCTGCGATTGTGGCTATGCAACCCAAACTAGGGATCGCACAGTTAAAACCGCCGTAGTCTGCGCTCCTGCAGTGGAGGAGGAAGAGCGAAGCGACGCCACGGACTCTCTCCCGAAGCCCTCTCTTGGCGATCAGACCTCGAGCATATTGCCGCTGCCATATACGCAACGACAGAACAGTGCCAAGGGAGGTACAACCGACTGTTTAGGAAATAGGTTGAAGCTAGATAATTAACGACAGCTCATCCAGCAGTGGATTGAGCAAAGTGCCGTTACTTTATCACACAACGGCAGCAGCAGCGGCGGCGGCGGCCCTTGCGTCCCCACCTGAGCCACGCGCGTCGCCGACCGTCAGCTGTTGGCGACGTCACGCGCCCGGGCTGCCCGTGGACGCGCGCCCAACATTCGTACCGACCGCGAATCTCCGTTAACAATGAAGGCTACCACTCCCAGCCTCGCGTTTACGGCCAATTGCTCGGCGCGCTAAAAATAAAAAAAAATGCCGTTGCGCTCGCACGTATGCATCGTAGCGTATAAACCCCACCGCCGCATTACGCGTCCCCCTTTAAATCGGGCAATCGCCGCGGACGCCCCAGCCCGTGCGTCCTCGCAGCTTAAGGACCCCGACAAGGTGTCATGGCAGCGCCCAGCAGGACGAGCGTGCTCGCGCTGTACAAGGCTCTGCTGCGGGAGAGCGGCCGCTTCACGAGCTACAGCTACAGGTCCGGGGGCTCGGGGTCGGGCGCGCGGTGCTGACCAGCGCCGGGGTTCGCGCTCTTGGAACCCCGGGCGCTTTGGTCTGCGCGATCAGGCCTATGCTCTTGATAGGGCGCTGAGTGGGATGTGTGCGTGTGTCTCTACCCTTGACGAGGGTCGCGCTTGTATCGGCTGCTCACGCCCGTGTGGTGGATGTTGCTGTTGACGTGTGTTGGGTGCAAGGGTAGAGTCGGTGTTTGCGGTTGGTGCCGATTGTGTTGTAAGGTCATGGTGGAGCGTCAGCGTAGTGGTTGGCGCACTGCACGACGCACCCGCGACCCGCATCAGTGGCGTTATAAGTCAACAACGGCAAGATGCATAGCGCCATTCACGCACAAAGGCCTCAAAACGGAGCAAACGATCCCCCTCCTGCCCTCCCCGCTGTCACTGTTAATAAAGTACGCAATATCAATGATGCCGTTAATGGCATCATTATTACAATTATCTTCACCTCACCCGGGTCTATAAACAGATTTACACTTCGTAGTACGTAACATGTGCTTCTATGATTACTTATCCACTGACATACGAATGCCCTTTCCAATTGCGTCTCAGGGTTCTTAACATGATTGGATTGATGGAACCATAAGTATTTTTTGACTTCATGTATTATTTCTCCCTGGTCGATGAACAACTCCCATTTTGTTGTGGCTTTGTGGCCCGAGCCATTTTTGAGATCCTTCTGCCCTTGACTGTCGTTATTTATCAGTTGTGCCATCATCGTGTCGGAATTATTAGCAGTCTTTTCATATTTATTGCTGTTTAAATGTATCTTTAGCGCTATTAATATCACGCCTCTAGCCCCCAAAAGAACAGGTACCGCTTTATTGAAAGTCAACTGTGGTTATTATCGTAACGTTGCCCTTTATTTATCCAGGAACCCTCACGGAGTCCCCACACGTGAGGGTCCTGCATCGGGATGGTTCGAAATGTCTTTTACCATAGTGAGCGTTTGGGCTAGTAAGAAACTGGAGTATCTGGAGAAAACCTGCCACACACTCTCACACAGGGTTAGCCCTTCAAATTCCGCAAATAGCTGCAGGAATACTTTGGTGTGCTGTCATCTCCCGGCCACGTTGCAGCACGAGGCTGCAACGCCTGGTATTCTCATTCCTTTTCCCCATCCCAACATTGAGCATACTCAACTCTGCTTACCTTTCGAGATCTATAATAATGCCCTTTCTGGTTGGACGGGTCACACAACCATTACATATATCATACACGAATCGAAAAAAATGGTTCTCACGTGCTTTTTGTGTGTATGACTATCCTTGCATTTAAATCATCCACGTAGATATATAAACAGCAAGAGGCATTTGTGATGGGTGGTATGTGTGTGAAGGAGGGCAGGTTACTGAGACGGATATTGGGAGTGGCACCCAGACCACGGTCGTGGTGATGAGACTAAGCATGCTCTTCAACGGACGACTGTTACAAGGGGAGGACCTAAAATATCAGGGTATAGGTCCTGATGAGACTAGGAGCGGATATTGGAAATCATGTGCAGCAGTTGAGAGATCTATGGGAAGGAAGTGTAGCAGGATGTGGTGGCGTCAAATCTTAGCCTTGATCCCCTCTTGTCTTTTTCATTGCTATCAGCTGGAGCTGTGCTTGGGGCGCCGCGGTGGTGAAATGTCAACTACCTCGCCTGGTATACAGGAGGTCGTGGGTTCGACCCCGACCTTGACGGCTGTATATTTGGAGTTTGCATGTTTCTCTCCTGGTGGTCGCCTGGATTTTTCTTTGGAATCTCCTGTATTTTCCTCCACATTTAGAAATATTCGTTTAGTTTATTTGGCTGCTATAAATGACAACATAAGCCACTTCGTTGAGCTATGATTTGTAGCCAAGTATCGCTTCTGAAAAATATCTGTATAGCTCCGTGGTCCTTACCTGGTAAAATAAAATAGTTTGGATCACCAGACTCATAATCAGAAGGCACTGCAATGAAACCCTAGTCGGAGGTCAGCTTGGCGCATTGACCTCCGGGGGTCTATAAAATTGGGATTACTTTGTGAGACGTGCGACCGAGGGGAAGACTCAAAGCCAGATGGCAAAATACTATAACAGCAGCCCTTTGCAGTCTTATCAACTATGATTGATATAGGATCTGGCAGAAGGAAGGAAGCAATAGTGAGACATGGTGGCATCCACAGCATTATCCTTGATGAATTATTGGACTTGATTGGATGACTCTCAACCACTGGTAGTGGGGGGCAATATTGCATATAAATTTTACTTTTACACAGAAATCTCAATTCGTTTTAATAACCATGGTCCAAACTCGGAACACTGAGCCTACAGCAGTGTGCAGCGGCTTGTGCCGGCAACCTCGTTGAAGGCAACTAGGGGAGCAGCCAGACTTGACCTCTGCGTTGAGCCCTGGGTGCCCCCGTGTGTTGCTAACGATTTAGGAAGTGTTAATCTTAAGATGCTTGACATCGCTCAGTGTGGTGGGATTTGCCTGTTGGGAAATCTAAGCGATCCCGCAATTTTAACTGCCATTGCGCAGCGAGTGCCAATGCACAGGGGAGCCCTCGGCAGTCAAAATTGCATGCGGCCCTGAGAAATTGAATCCTTAGCTGTAAAATTATCGCTCATCTATTTCGAAAGGGAGAGAAAAATTTGATGTGAAATACGTGAAAAAATGTAATATGAGCAGCACAGAGGGCCCGGGAAATATAATTTGATTTTTTTTTCCTTTTCCCCAGCTCTGTTGTTGTTCTTGAGTAATTTCTAAACGATTTTGTGTCCTGCTCAAATAGTCTCTAAGATTTGGGGTGAAAATTGCTGCAGTTTCAGAGAGCGGAATGAAAGAAAAAAGCCATGTTTAGCCAGTCCCACAAGTGAGCCTCCTCTCATCGCTGAAATTGTTTCCTCGCACGACTTCTGGCAAACGGTTGATTGACCCCACACATTTCTGCCCCCTCTTATTTCATACTTGGTAATCTGCCATAGTGGTGCGGAACTTCCACTTTCGCCCCATGCTCACTTGAGCGGGGAGACGCTAACTTTGTGGTTTAAAGTGGTCAGGCTTGACACTGATGCAGCATGAGATTGAGATATGGAGAGTTGTGCTATGCTCACGGGACGAAATCGTGGCGCAGATCATAACGGCCTGTCTGTTAGCCCGAGCCCGAGATGGGCAGTGCACCGCGTCGGTGCTTATTTGTTTTCCCCTAATTCGTTTTCACTGCCATTTTCGCCCAAAGTTTTTCCTCGGTGAAATCACTCTTCGGACTTTTGACAGGGTCCACACTGTGCGTTCGAAATTGAAACATGAGAAGCTTTACGGGGCGCAATCGCACACTGTGGCTTGCGCTCGTCTAGCAGATGCGGTGGCCTGGCGCAGGAATTGATCTCTGTAATTTACATTCACCTGCTGCTGCTGTTACTGCCAAACTTTTGACTGGATGTTGTGGCCGAATCATAACACTTTTTGTTGTAATACAATAAAGCTATATAGATTGATGGAAAAAGACAGTCGTCATCATCATTGTCATCATCTCAGCTGTATGCTCGTGTTGAGCCAGTACCACTTAGACCCTAAGTTTAAATCTCGGGTTTAACCACACTGGAGTAAGCCAGCATCTTTAGTGTAGCCAGAGGGCTCGATTCACAATTGAAAAGTGGCAGGGATGGAGTAATTCCATCATAATGCCCAATGGGCCGATAAATCTAGCACCGCTTTGTGGATGTATGCAAGAGTGGATGGCCGAATAATATCCTGGTCCCCGCTATGGGCATGTGGAATTGCTGTTGGTGGTTCAGCACGTGTTTCATGGCAAGTAATATCTGACTATATACACGGATTACAACATTTCTCCTTTAGGCACATGAATGTTGCTCTCATTTCTCCTCGGTAACTGCCCTCAGTAATTGCCCTTGGTAACTGACCTTGGGTTAAACTACCCAGATGTAGTTTAACCCGGCAGATTTTTCAAATGGTTCTGTGAACTTTGTTGACCATGACTTTTGTGTTTTTTTCTCATCTATATCCTGAGTCCCACTTTCATCGTTCAGTTATTTTGTCATTGCCTGGCAAAAGCGTTTCCCCTCTTTCCAGGCTCCCCCTCTCATATTCATCTGTTGGTACTTTCGGAAAGCAATCTCAGCGTAAGCATTACAATTGTACAGATGCTTTGTAATATTTCGGAATGTTTTATTTAGGTCTCGGGTTTGTGAGAGTTTTTGGATGCCCGCATCTATTAAGGCTCTCGAATAGTGTTATCCAGAAAAAAAATCAACACATTCCTCAATTGGCCAATAACACTTTCTTAAGAGGAAAAGGAAATAATAGGCAACGTTTGGGAAGTGGCCCTTTTAATGTCTATACTATGAAGTAGAAGGGCCATCGCCTGATGTGTCACTCACTGCCCCCCTAAAGCAAAAGCTTTGGAGGACCCTCCTGAAAAGGAGTCCGGAGACTCTTTCTTGGGTAACCAAGTGGGGTAATAACAACAACCTTCTGCAGAACGTGATAATGAATTAACGAATCGTAACATTCCCCAGATTCCTACTGTTCTGATGAACCTCCTGGAGTGGAGATGGTGAGTGATTGAGGTGGAGATGTATGTGTTGCTTGCGTGTGTGCAGGGAGTACGCCCTGCGCAGGGTGAAGGATGCCTTCCGGGAGAACCGCGCCTTGCAGGAACCTGAGAAGGTGGCGAGTCTGATGGCACGAGCCCAGGAGAGCCTCGATGTCATTCGCCGGCAGGTGAGGCCACCAGCCCAGGTGGCACAGGTGGCGTGGGGCCTGGGTGGGCGACACCAACTGGTCGGATCGACGCTGGCGAGGGAGTGGGCGGGTGTGCGACCAGGGGGGCGGCCGAGTGAGCGGGAGGGTGAGCGGGTGAGTGGGAGGGTGAGCAGATGAGCGGGAGGACGAGCGGGCGAGTGAGCGGGTAAGCGGTCGAGTGAGTCGGCACCAACATTACGGGACATATTGGCGAACCCCGAGTGGCCGTAGCCTGCTCTGGTTTGCTGATGGGGAGGTCTCCGTGTGAGACCAGGTTTAGACCGTACGTCTGAGATTAGCAGATGACCAGCGTCTGTTTTCATCTCCTAATAAGACCGTTAAATGAGGTTTTGGTTCATCAGCCTAATGGCCTTCGGTAGGTTGAACCATTTTTATCTCGTCAGCAATTTACTTAAGCAGGCAGACACTGGATAGGGTTTAACTTTCTGAGTGTGGCCGGTTACACAAATGCTGCTGCTGAGTTGACTGCTGTTATTGGCAAGAGCACTCCACGAGCACCGTGGGGTCCGTTCACCGATGTTCATAAACATAGTACGAAACTCATTATGCACTTTTGTGGTGGATTGTGGGGAATAACAGGCGCTATTGCTGATGCGACTCGGAAGGTTGAAATCACATCTTAGGGTTGCCTGAGATCCATTGACTGACGGTTTCGATGTTCCCTTTGTTTTCATGGGCTGAAACAAGCTCGTCCGTGTTATCAATTCTGTTAAATCAAATGACGAGGTCTGCTAGCCATGAGAGGGCTTCGGGAGAGCTCGTTTAGTTTTGCTATGTCTGTAGAAGGAGCGCAGACTAAAGTGGTTTATTGTATGGTTCATATCGTGTTACCCACAATCCACCACCATGAGGGCATGTAATGATTTACGCGAGATGAAGCCGCCTTGACATAGGTTGTCTCCGAGTGCTGGAAGCTTTCCGGACCTCGTGCCCGGCTCTTGCGTTGACCGAAAGGCAGTTTCTGGCGGTGTTTGGCAATAAAACAGCGGCGTTATCACCGTTTTGTACAAGGTTGGCCATGCACTGGTCTCGGTGGGAGCGTGTTTGTGGAAGAAAGGCATCCAGATGAGGCATGTGCGATTCACGCGTTGATGGATGAGCGCGTAAACCCTCAGGAGCGCTCCGCTTAGTAACTAACCCACGGACGAGCGGCGCAGACGTCAAGTGGACTTATGTACGCCGGGCGGATTGTGACTGCTTCTCGCCTTCTGAGACAGATCCTCCAGCGTGGTTTTTGATTAGCGAGCCGTGGGGTTGCTGGGGGTGGGGGGGGGCGCTTAGTGGGACACGTGTGCCGGCTGAACCGTTTACACCTCCCGGGGAGGTGGAGCCAGCGGATCATGTACAGTACTTTCCAAAACGAGTCATTGGTTCACGTTAAGGGGTGCCACGGTGGCGAGATGTTAACTACCTCGCCTGGTATACAGGAGGTCAGGAGGTCGTAGGTTTGATCCCGACCCTGACGCCTGTATATTTGGAGTTTGCATGTTCTTCCTGTGGTCGCGTGGATTTTTCTCTGGGTCCTCCGGCTTTCCCTCCACATTTAGAATCAACACAGGTTTACAGTATATGGCTGCTATAAATTTCCACGTGATAAGCCAACTTCGTTGAGATATCATTTGTGGCTATATAGCTCAGTGGACCTTCTTTGGTTCTTTCTGGTAAAACATTTTTTTAATAGTTAATCGTTCATCCTTGAGCCTAATCATGCATTGGCCGTCTGCTGGATGTTATTACTATTGTCGTGCAGTAGAACCACGCTGAGATGAGGAATTCTATAAGGGCTGTTGCCGTTTATTAAAACACTGTTACACTCGACATCCTACGCTCACACCAGTGTAGGTGCACTCTCTCATGGTCACTGAATACTATGTGTCCTTCCTTCGGCTACCCTATGGGCTCTCTCACTCGTCTAGCCGGAGCGGGGGTTCAGCCAACACCGCTCCGCGACGAGGAGAGAAAGACCCTCTTCCAGCCGACCCTATACTCAACACCTACGAACCCTACCCTCGGCTAGCCCCTTGGCTCTCCCACTCGTCTGGCCGGAGCGGGGGTTCAGCCAACACCGCTCCGCGACGAGGAGGAAGAGACCCTCTGCAGCCGATCCTTACCCTGGCTCCCTATGACGACCACGCCTCCGTCACGGGGCTGCCCTTAAGAACCCTTTGGGCGGCTCCTCCCCCCGGCTCGGCTCCACCCATGTTACCGAAGGTGCTCTCCAAAGCCCCTTAAGTAACCCGTGACGTTACGTCATTCTTACGTCATGCTTGACTGTCAACCCGCTCGCCTCTCCTTCTGCTCGCCCCCTCATTGGTTACTCACAATACTCCTCTACACTATCGTTTTATAATTTTCGACTTGAGGAACCTTCAAACCTTTCAAGATCTTCGAATTGTATGAAATTTTCCCAAGGTGATAATCTCACGGATGCCTCCGGTTGCGCAAGTGCCACTTCACACTCCTAGGCAGAAGTTTCCGAGAACACGCGAGCGGTCTCAGTAATACGCGCAGGAGGAAGGCCCCCGCTTCGCACGGCATATTCGCCGAAGCTCGCCTTTTTGATTTTTGAAGACGGATGTCCCGGACGAGGCGGCGCCATAGGCGGCTTGCCGTGCCGTCATGCTGCCCCGAGGGACGCTGCCCCGGTGTGACGGTCGGCACCATGGGCTTGCGATCCGGAGGTCGCTGGATCAATCTCCCGGCGCGCGCTGCAGTCGAAGCAAAACATTGGCAGGTTTCTTAAATTCCACCCCCCACCTTCCGCTGGTCTCTATCCGCACAGCAGCAATTATAAATGGGTATGGCCAGAGGTAGTCAATTGACAGGTAGAATGTGGTGGTGGGTTAAAGTGTGGGTACTCACACCTCTTGCAAGACGTCTGGTGGCCAGTGTAGAAGAGCAGGCTAAAATACCATCCAGTGGGAGGGTCCATCCAGTGGCAGCAGTGGCAATTGCAGGGCTGCACCTTTTTATGTTATAACAATTAATGAACCCATGGAATTTAAGGTTGTCACATTCCACCTCATACGAGAATTGCATTATCCAGTCATTCACGAGCGCAATTTAACTTTCTCTCTGGGTTTTTTCCCCACGCTAATGGGCACAGAGCAAGGCGAGAGCCGCGTATTTTACGCCGTCACGCCCCATGGGGCCCGCTATCCCCCGCCCTCCGCACGCCCTATCGTCTCGCCCCCCCCCCCCCCCCCGTGTTTTTACGAGCCTTTAATAAAACATCTCCACTGGGTTAATGCCGCGAACGTTTCGCCCCCCCCCTCTTCCACGGAGCTTGTCTGTCGGGTATCGCTGCTCGAGCCGGGCACTTGCCGCGTCACTGTCGGCACCGCTTCACTGCCTTTATTTTTTTATGACGGCTGGATTACACCGATCGGGACGGAGAGTCAGCCTCCTCTGCCCTTCCAGTGCGTTGTTGGTGTAAATAATGCATGAGGTTGGCTGCATTCGAAGAAGTATAAGATGCCGCACCAATTAAAAAAGCAATACATATCAAAAATTGGGGGGGGGGAGTTGGAAAAAATGGTGCAGGTTTCTTGAGTCCCGCCTCCCCCACCACCGCCTCTGTGCACCCAGCAGTGTTGACGGGGTTCACCACAGCTGGACGATCAGCATATCACGTGGTGGTGGTGGTGGTGGGGTAAAGTATAAGTAATTCGCCTGGTATACATGACGTCATGGGTTTGATCCCGATCCTAACGCCTGCTGTATATTTGGGGTTTGCATGTTCACCCCGTGGTCGTGTGGATTGTTCTCTGAGTCCTCCGGTTTTTCCTTCCACATTTAGAATCAACATGGATTAAGAGTATTTGGCTGCTTATACATCTCCATGTCACAAGCCACTTCGTTGGGCTATCATTTGTGGCAAGGTCGCTTCTGAAAAAAGAGCTATATAGCTCAGTGGGCCTTACCTGGTGAAATAAAAAGTTTAGTTTTAGTTTCATTCCCCGAACGGACCGTTGAAGGCGATTGCCGCGATGGCTCTCCTGGTACAGGCACCTGCGCACGTTCTCACGGTTGCGCGGCTCTACAGATCCCCGATGCGTTTTCGTGCCGTACCGCGCGTTGTTCAGCACGACGTCCGACGTTTCGCTCTAAGATAACCTCTTTTACAAAGCGGCTTTCATTTTGGAATATCTCAAAAGCGCTGCACGTAAGAAAAACAGCACTCGACTATAGATACAATCTAAGCGAAATAGCAAGATGATCATAACGATATCAGTGACAACTACACTTGAAATGGCAATAAAAGGAAGAACAAAGTGATGATAAAATAATGAATTTTATTTTTTTCGTTTGCTTTTTTCAAATCTTAAGTTACAGGAAAGAACCTGTTGTACAATTGTGAGTTTTAAGGTGTGATTTAAAAAGTTCCTATAATGGGGAATCCTGGGTCTAATGCTGCACTGGGCAGAACATCATATGCCTGGTTCCTACCTTACTTAAATGGGTAAGAACATATGCCTGGTTCCTACCGCACTGCACTTGGTAGAACATCATATGCCCCATTCGCTCGCTCACCGGCGGTCGGTAACCTCCTCATCATCCCTCTTGCAAGCGCTACTGTGGTTACTGTTTTTGGCTACTTATTTATATATTTGGCTGTTTATAAACTTCCACGTGATGTTAAGCTACTTCGTTGAACTATCATTTGTGGCGGCCAGGTCACTTCTGAGCAAGCGCAATATAGCTCGGTGGGCCTCACCTGGCAATATAAAAATAGTTAAAATTTTGATTTAAAGCTTTCGTGACTGCAAGAATGAATCTTCTTTGGTTCTTTCGGTAAAGTCACGTAGAATGAGAATAGATTAATAAAATAAAATAACACAATAAAATTCTCACGACGTTTCGGCCACAACACAAGCGGCCTTCATCAGGTGAAGGGACGAGACTGTCTCGAGGACAGCGCTGGAGCGACTTTACCAAAAGAACCAAAGAAGAAAAAT